AGGCAAGCCTGTAGGCATTTTCTTAATTAGTGATTGATGGAAGCAGGCCCAGCCCATTGTGGGTGGGGCCATCCCTGGCTGGTGGTCCTGGGTTCTACAAGAAAGCAGACTGAGCAAGCCAGGAAGCAGCACTCCTCCATGGCCTCTGCATTAGCTCTTGTCTCCAGGTTCCTGCCCTGTTTGAGTTCCTGTCCTGACTTCCTTCAGTGATGAACAGTGACTTGGGAGTGTGAGCCAAACAAACCCCTTCCTCCCTGAGCTGCTTGGGTTATGGCGGTTTGTCACAGCAGGAGAATCCTTGAATAAGATAGAGGCTTGCGAGGTCTGGAGAGTCAGCCTCATAATGATGTCCCCCAGAAAGGCCGACCAGTGCCCAGTTTGACCCAGGGACAGCATGGCTGGCTCCCAGGATTATGGGTCCTGACAGAAAACAGAAGAAACAAAGAAACCAAAGTAGCATGCAGGCCCATAGGGGGTTCACCCACAAAGTTCCAAAGAATCCACCACAGGCCTCACAAAAGATGCCTGTGGCCGTGGTGTGGAGACAGCCCAGAACTGCCCCCAGCAGCACGAGCGTGCTTTGATCTTTCGGAGGCCTTGACTCAGGTGCAGCTGGATTCTTAACTTTGCCACAGGAAACTCAGATTCTGACTTCACTGAAGAAAAGAATTTCAAAACGAACCATCGCAAAGGATATTTAGAGTTTATTACAAAAAGATTTTACTATACATTTCAATACAATTATTGAGAAAAGGCACTTGGGAGAAAGTAAAAAAAAAAAAAAAAAAATCAGAGCCCATGATTGAGGGCTTCCCAGAGAACAGCCGCCCTTCATCGGCTTTACAATACTAATACATAGAATTTACTATTTATCTTACTTGTTTAAGACGGTGTCTCCTTATGTCGGCCTGGAACCCACTATGTGGATCAAGCTGGCCTCAAACTCACAGACATCTGCCTCCAAGTGCTAGATTAAAGCTGTGCAATGCCGTGTCTGGCTTACACAAAGAATTCGGATGGCTCTGGAAGCCACTGTCTCCACAGGGTAGCCCCTGAGGTGCCCCTGGCAGCGGACAAGTCTAGGTTGCAGAGACACGGGCAGTTAGAGCATCCCACGGTAAACACAGGCTTCACGTAGCAGGGTTATGCTTGTCAAGTCTTTCCTTGGTAAACACGGTAAACACAGCGATTCTTATTGGGAGGTTCCCAATAACATGCGGGAGAGGGGGGAGGCCTTCCCTGGTCCGCCAAGGCCTGGCGTGTTGCTCTTTTAACACTCTTAACGTAAATGACCTGTCGTCAGCCACTGTCACACAACTCAAACTGTGAGAGGCTCCAACCAGACTCCAGGGCAGGGCATTCCATCCTCTCCCTTCTCCCCGCTGTTTTCCTAGCCTGCCTCAGACAGCACCATTACCAGTTCTAGTTTGGAGGCCGTTAACTTCCTGTTCTCCTAAGCTGTGCATCTTCGAAGGCTTACGTAACACTAGGAAGGGGCCAGCACCGATCACCGTCATTGCACAGAAATCTCTTCTCTATTAACTCACCATCTGTTAGTGAAGAATAGCGTAAGACTCTGGCCCGCAGGACAATGGTTCTACACCGTAAACGATTTTAGAACTGTGTCCACAAACAGACCCTTCTCTGCAGTGAAAGTGCATCTCATACAAACATAACAAAACACTTATTTCAAGGCAAACAGAGGTAGACACGGCTTCACATAGCAGGGTTGTGCTTGTCAAGTCTTTCCTTGGTCTTGATACATTTCGTATAAAAGAGAGCAGCCATGGGTCACTTGGCTTTGTAAACTTTTGAATAATACATCAAGTTCAGATACCCAGCTCTACAAATTCCTAGTCACAGACACTAAAGGTCACTTGAAAACATCAACATAGGCAGTATACGGGTGGCATTGTTGGGGTCTCTCGTGCATTCGTCACTTGCACATCAGGAGACTTTGGTGTTTCCTTCATATCTCTACTCCACACTCCTTGTTTTATTGTGTCTGTGCATGATGGGAAGGGCATGCCATGGAGAGTGCGTGGAGGTCAAAGGGCAACCAGACAAAGTTGGCTCTCTCCCGCCACCTTTACTTGTGTTCTGGGATGGAACTCAGGGGCCCAGGCTGAGCCATCTTACAGGTCCTGACATTCCTTCTATTTGCCTCGATTACAGACAGACAGACAGACAGACAGACAGACGATAGATAAACAGATAGATATAAATAATTGTTTGCTTCTCCGGTCATACTGCTCTAGCTAAGACTCCAAGAAGTGTATTGTATAAGGGCGGAGAAAGTGGACACCCTCTCTCCTGCCGGAGTGGAAACAGGACCTCCACGGTCCTGACCTCCACATCCACGGATAAGCTCACACGCATGCAATAAATAAATAAATAAATAACGAGTGTTTAGAAAAACAACCTTCCTTCCTTTCTTGTTGTGTCTCCATCCAGTTTTGTTCTGGTGCTAACGCTGGGCTTGTAAGGGAGTTTGGCAGTGGTCTTTCCTCCCTTCAGAGCGGCTGCTGACAGCACTTCATTGACCATCTGGTAGCTTTTACCAGTGAATCCGTCAGGGCCTGAACACTGCTTTGTTTGGTGATGTTGTTGTTTATCATTATTATTATCATTATCACCAGTATTATTGCAACATCAATCTCACTGCTCCTAACAGTTTTGTTTAAATCATTTATCTCATCTGGGTTTAATTCTGGTAGATCATATCCACAAAGTAATTCATCCAATACTTTAAAATTTTCTAATTTAGTGGAATATCTACTTTTAAAGAATGTCCTGGTGCTCCCTGAGTTTCTGAATGGCTCCTTTGGCACCTCTGACTTTATTAGGTGAGGCTTTGCTTTCTGCCAGTTAGCTGGGATTTGTTGATCAGATTTACAAATTTTGTAATTTTTCATTTCCGTTTGATCAATCCCTGCCCTGATCTTAACTCTTTCCCACTACAGATTTGGGGTTTGGCTTGAGCTTGTTTTTCAAGGCCCTGCGGTGCATCGTTAAGTTATTTATCTTAGTAGGCACTTAGAGCTGGAAACGCCCCCACGGACCGTTTTCACTGGGAGCTTTGGCTCACTGTGTTTTCATGATTAAGTGTCTCACGTAGAAAATAATCCTAAAAATGGGTCTTTAAAAATTGCAGCTTAAATTTTCTTAGCAAACGCCACGAAGTCAAGGGACTGCCCACTTGTGGACGAAGTAAAGACAGAGGGACGACAAAGTAAAGACAGAAGGACAGCTCTGCGAGGACCCAGGTCGAGCCACTCACTGCCTTTGCACCCCTTCACTTAAGGGTTCCTGTAAGATGACAAGCAGCACCTAGATCAGATTAGAGATCCGTAAAACCTTACGCACAGGCTTCCCATTGGCTCAGCCCCAACTAGGAAAATAACTTCCAGAAAACAGCTGGTCTGTGTTGTATCAGCAGCCTTTCTTTTTTTCTTCTTCCTCTTCTTCAAGCCGACTTATTTCTGTATTATCTTTATGTGTTTGTGTGCGTTCCTGCATGAGTTTATGTTCACCATAGGTGTGCATGATCCAGTGGAGATGAGATGTTTTCAAGAGGTTGTGAGCCGCCATGTGGGTGCTGGGCCCTCTACAAGAGCATCATCTCTGCAGCCCAGAGGTCCTTATTTCCTTGTCTGACTCTCCCACTGCCCCTGATGTAGTACAAAGAGAAGCATTAGCCTTGCACACATTGTGCCTTAGCTGACCCATGAGTTATGAGGATCCACTTGACTTCCTAGAATCTTCTAACCAGCACATTAACACTTGGTCCTGAGCCTCTAAAGCATCTGCACCGTTCTCTTTCTTTGGGTGATAGCTGAAAACCTAATTTAGAAACATCTAGGGGAACTGGAAATTCTTGGTCACCCCACTGAAAACCTATGGTCAGTTAGCCCACTAAGGTGTTAACAAACATGAGCAATGAGGGAACTGCTCCCTCAGCTAAGGACTGAACACTACAGTCCACTCCTAGTTCAAAGCCCTGCTCTCAACTGATAAGGTTGGATCAATTCACAGGGAAAGTCGTATCCCATGGACAGGCAGCGGCTCCACAGCCCTTCTCCACAGAGTCAGGGAGAAGAGACCAGATGGGGAAACTCTTTCCTAAACTAACATCAGAAAACAACACACAGTATCCCCAGCACCCACCCCCAGACCTCCCTGACAGTGTCCAGTGACTGTGATCACAAACACCTGAAGCCAAGCTCTAGCCACAGGCCTGTGCTTTGTCTTACTGGTTCTTACCATCTCCAGAGGCAATAAACTATCACCAAACCCAGGAGAACACAGGGACCAACAATGGTAAAGTATATCTCCATAGGTCCTGGAGAGAGAGGAGAGAGAGGAGGTTATGATGGTTCATACTGTCAATTTGACCAGACTGAGAATCACCTATCAGACAGTCCTCTGTGCAGTCTGTGAAAGGTTATCTACACTAGGTTAACCGAGGTAGGAGGACACACTTTAACTGTGGCTGACGCTGTCCCGGGGGTCGGGACTCAGCAAGCCGAGCGCTCAGTGTCCTCCGTGTCCTGACTGCGCACACACACTGAGGCCACCTGCTGCCGCCATCTTCTTGCCTTGGTGGACTGCACCCTGGATCGGTAAGCCAAGAATAAGCCCTTTCTTCAGCGATTGCCTTTGTCGGAGTATTTTACGACTACAACCAGAAGAGCAGCCGACCCCGGTGAGGGCCCAAGACTACAGAGGACTGGTGTTACAGTCTACGTGGCTGATGTCAAGTCCCACCAGAGATCCCCCACCAGGCCTCTGTCGTGGATTAGCAACACCACTGCTATCACACACGTCCTCAGACGTCGGGGTGTGTAGCACAGCAAAGCACAGGTTGACATCAGGCATGGTGGTACACACCTGGGAGCCCAGCCTTAGGTGTTCAGGAGTTCAAGCCAGCTGGGTTGCAGATTGAAACCCTGCCTCAAAAAAGGAAGGAAGGAAGGGAGGGAGGGAGGGAGGGAGGAAGGAAGGAAGGAAGGAAGGAACGAAGGGAGTGGAGATGTAGCTCCACTGTGGAGTGCATGTCCAGCATGCACCAAGCCCTGGGTTCAAGGCCCAGCACCGCATAAATCGGGCGTAGTGACATATGACTATAACTCTAGCCTTCCGGAAGTAGAAGTTGGAAGATCAAACATGCAAGGTCATCCTAGACGCCATAGCAAATTCAAGGCCAGCCTGAGCAACATTAGACCCTGTACCAAAAGAAAGGAGGGTCTACGTGATGACTCACTGAGTTGAGGTGGTTCACTGCCGCCCACTGAAGAAGGGAACTGACTTCATCAAGCTGTTCTCTGA